CCCGGGGCCGCCTCGACACGGGCCCGGGCTGGCGCTGCGGGCGGGAGGGGCGGCCGGGGCCGTCCCCGCGCTCTGCCCGAGCCCCGGCGATGCCCGCGGGGTCCCGGCTGTTCCGCGGGCTGCCAGGGCCCGGCGCTGCCCTCGGCCTCGCGACCCCTTCCCGCGCGGCTGCTCCCGGGCAGGGACCCAGCGGCGGCTCCGCGCCAGGGCTGCCCTCTGCACCCGGGGCGCGGGGTCAGTTTAATTAGGCAGTGCTGGCAAAGCACTTTGCAGGGCTAAGTGCTGCGTAAGCAGGGGGCTGCTCAGCTGCCTGCCCGGGAGCCCGCGCGGAGCCGAGCGGAGCGGCCGCGGCGCCAAGCGCTGCCCCCCGAGCCCCTCCTGCAGGGGCAGCGCACGGAGCTTTCCCGGGGCCGGGGCCCTTCCCCTGGTGCTGCCGCTTGTCGGGAGGGCGGAGAGCAGAGGGGGCTTCGCTGGCGGCTCCGGCAGCCCCAGTGCCGGGCACCTTGGCCCATGGAGCAGGTTGGGGCTCAACCAGAGACCCCGGGAGATCCAGGACGCCGTTTGTGCCCAGACCTCGCAGCGGTCCCAGCGCTCCCGGGAACCGGCCCTCCGGAGCTGGGGCTGCCATCGGAAACGGGCACAAGGCGGCCCCCCCGGCCAGGCGCGTCCTGCGCAGCCCCGAGCAGCCCTCGCGGCGGGCCCGGAGCTGCCCGGGCCCCATTGTGCAGAGGGTGCTCCCCAGGACACGGGTCCCTCGGGCCTGCTCGGCGTGTCCTGAGCCCCACGCAGTGCAGGGGGATGCAGTGCCCGGCACAGGGGGACACGGTACCCAAGAGCGAGGGACGTGGTGCCTGGCACAGCGCGATGCGGTACCCAGCACGGGGGGACACAGCGCCTGGCAGCGGGGGAAGCAGTGCCCACCGTGGGGGTACCCAGCACAGGGTGATGCGGTGCTTGGCACGGGGGAATGTGGTACCCAGCACGGGGGGACACGGTGCCCGGCACGGGGGGATGCGGTTCAGCTCTGGCTCTGCCTGTGCCCGCGCACCGGGCCGGTGCTGGCAGTGGGACGGGGGTCAGCTCTGCAGCCCGGCCAGCCCGGACCGGCATCCTCCCCATTCCCGCTGTCTCCTCCCAGCTGTGGGCTCGCAAGGAGTGGCAGCGGGTGGGATATATAAAGGCAGGGGAACCTCAGCCAGCCCCAGAGAAAGTCCTGGAGCTGCTGGAGTTCTCCTTCCCCCCTCACGTGATCCAGCTTCCCCGCGCCGGGGAGCCAAGGACGGGACCCCAGCGCCGTAAGCGCCGAGCGGGGCCGCAGCCGGCGGGGCGGAGGGGGTGTCAGGGCCAGGCCCGGGCGCCGGGACCCGCGGGGGGATGGGGGCCACGGGAGGGGGCCCGGGCGGCCCCGGTGCTGCCCGCGGCGCAGCCAGCGCGGCCCTGGGAGGCAGCCCTGCGCGGGGCCGGGCGGGAGGGCCGCGGGCCGCCCCTCCGCGCGGGGCTCCGCTCCCTGCGGCGCTGCAGGCCCAGCTCCTGCGGCGCCGGCTGCGGGACGGGGCGGGAGAGCCCGTGGGGGGGTCCCCAGGGGGTGCCGGATCCCTGGGGCTGGATGGGGGCTCCACACCCGCCGCGGGGAGCAGGGGGCTCTGCCRCTCGTGGGCTGCTGCATGCAAGGGTTCGAGTGATGTGGAGCTGGGCGGCGTGGGGGGGACTGGGGGAAAGAGGAGCCCGCAGTGGGGCTGCGGGGTGCTGCTCCCTGGGGCCACCCCCGTGCGCTGTCCCCGCTCTGCGAGCAGCTGCCCTGTGCCCCAGGTGGGAGATGGCGRCCGGCAGCCTCCTGCTGCTGCTGCTGCCCTGGCTGGCGGCAGCCTCGCACAGCCCGCCCGGCTGCAAGATCCGCATCACCTCCAAGGGCTTGGAGCTGGGTAAGGGACCGGCCGCGGCCCCGTGCGCGGCCGGGTAGAGCCGCGGGGCTGCCCAGGACCCGCTCAGCCCGCGCGGCGCCTTGCAGTGAAGCAGGAGGGACTGCGCTTCGTGGAGCAGGAGCTGGAGAACATCACGGTGTCCGACCTGCACGGCAAGGAGGGGCAGTTCCACTACAACATCAGCCAGTGAGTGGTGCCCCCCGCACGGGCGCAGCCCCGCCGCGCGCCACCGACCCCCTGGCCGCGTGTCCCCTGCAGGGTCAGGGTGCTGGATCTGCACCTGCCCTTTTCCGACCTGCACTTCCAGCCCCGGCAGCACCTCTCCTTCAACATCATCAACGCCTCCATCAGCCTGCGCTTCCGCCGCCAGCTGCTCTACTGGTTCTTGTGAGTGACCAGGCGGCAGCGCCGGCCTCGCGCCACGGCCCCGCTGTGCGGAGCACCCATGGGCGCGCAGGAGCCGCGCGCTCCGCTCACCCCTTCCCCTCGCTCCCAGCTACGACATCGGCTCCATCAACGCCTCCGCGGAYGGCGTCCAGATCCACACGGTGCTGCAGCTCTCCAAGGACGAGGCCGGGCGCATCAAGATCTCCAACATGAGCTGCAACGCCTCCATCGCGAGAATGCACGCGGGCTTCTCGGGCACCCTCAGGTGGAGCTGCCCTGGCAGCCCTGTCCTTCCCTGCGCTTCCCGGCCCGGGCTCTGCTTCTCCCTGCGCAGGAAACAGGCCGGGGAAGGGCCGGGCTGCAGCCGTGCCCCCGGCCGGGGACGCTGCCCCAGCGACCTTGTCCTGTCCCCGCAGGAAGGTTTATGAGTTCCTGAGCACCTTCATCATCACAGGGATGCGATACCTCCTCAGCCAGCAGGTAGAGCCGCGGACGGAGAGCACAGGCCACACAGCACGCGGCAAACAGCTCCCTGCCCTGCCCCGGCAGCCGCCCGGSTGCTCCCCTGCTCCCCGGGGTGATGGAGGAGGGATCGGGCCCTCGTCAGGACGTCGCTGGCCAGCGATGCMCTGCTCCTAGCCCGGTCTGTTCCCTTCCAGATCTGCCCATCCCTGAACCACGCCGGCCTGGTGCTGCTCAACTCCGTGCTGGACACGGTGCCAGGTCAGTGTTGCCTCGGGGAAAAGGGAGCAGATCCAGCTGGAGYGGGGCAGGACGGAGCGCGGGCCCTCAGAACCCCTATGGCCGTGAGTGACAGCAGTGCTTCTTTGGCAGTGAGGAACTACGTGGACGAGCACATTGGGATTGACTACTCGCTCCTGCGGGATCCCGTGGTCTCCACGGACACCCTTGACCTGGATTTCAAGGTGAGCACCAGGGATCGCGTCCTGCCCCGCTGCCGCCCCCATTGGAGCACATTGGCCCATGCCTTGGTGTGCTGAGCTGCGCTGAGGTCTCTGCACGCTCTGGGCCCAGGGCATGTTCTTTTACCGAGGGAAAGAGGAGCAGGAGCTGGAAAACCACGCGGTGGAGCCGGTGATCAAGGAGATGGAGCGCATGGTGTACGTCGCCTTCTCCGAGTACTTCTTTGACTCGGCCATGCACTCGTACTTCCAGGCGGGCGTGCTGGCCATGCAGCTCGAGGGGGACAAGGTGAGCGGGGCTCGCACGCGCGGCCGGGCGGCCTGGGCTCCGCCGCGGAGCGGGGAGGTGCCGCCCACGGGCTACCGCGGACGGCGCCGCCTTCCCGCAGGTGCCCAAGGACCTGGAGGTTCTGCTGCGCGCCACCTTCTTCGGCACCATCTTCATGCTGGTGAGAGCGGCGCGGTGCCGGCTGCACGGTGAGCAGCGGGCGTGCAGCACGGCCGCGCTCACTAGTGTCCCGGCAGAGCCCCGGGGTGGTGGACGCTCCGCTGCGCCTGGAGCTCCAGGTGTCGGCTCCCCCCCGCTGCGTGATCAAACCCTCGGGCACCTCTGTGTCCGTCTCGGCCCTCCTCAACATCTCGCTGGTGCCGCCGGGCCGGCCGCCCGTGCAGCTCTCCAGCATGGCCATGGTGAGAGCCCGGAGCCGGGCGCAGCCGCAGCCCCGGCCATCCCCACGGCTCCGCGGGAGCCACAGGCCGCCTCTCTTGCAGGAAACCAAGCTGAGCGCCAAGGTGTTCCTGCACGGGAAGGCCCTGCGGGTGCTGCTGGACCTGAGACGGTAACGGCGGGGCCGGCGCGGCGGGCGGCACGCCGCAGCTCCCYGCTCACGGCCACTCTCCCCCCGCAGCTTCCGCATCTACTCCAAGCAGTCGGCGCTGGAGTCGCTCGCGGTGAGCGGAGCGGGCGCTGCGCTCGCCCGGCGTGGCCCTGCGCCCCGGCCAGCGCTCACCCCGGGCCTCTCTCCGCAGCTCTTCTCACTGCAGGCGCCTCTCAAGACCCTGCTGCAGCTCACCATCATGCCCATCATTAATGGTAGGGGGGCAGCGCCTGCACCCACCACACCTGGCCCCCCACACCCGCCTTCACTCCCTCTCTTCCTCCCCCTTGCAGAGCGGACCAAGAAGGGGGTGCAGATCCCGCTGCCAGAGGGCATGGACTTCACCCGGGAGGTGGTCACGAACCACGCGGTACGTGAGCGGCCCCGGGGCRGCCAGCTGCTCCGGCCGGCCCCGTGCTGATCCTGCCCCGTCCGCAGGGATTCCTCACCGTGGGAGCCGACCTCCACTTCTCCAAGGGGCTGCGGGAGGTGATCGAGAAATATCGCCCAGCGCCGACTGCCGCCGGCAGCCCCCTGCCCACGGCGCCCACCCCGCAGCCGCTGCAGCGCTAGCCCGGCTCGCTCTGCGCACGGGCTGGACCCACAGACTGTAGGTAGGAAACGGCTTCCCCAGCACGAGCAGACGCCGCGGGGCGCCCGCCTGGCGGGCGGCAGCACGGGGGAGAGCGCTGCTCTGGGAACCCCTGCTGCGCCCCTCTCCTCGCACCAATAAAGCAGTGTCCTCCGCTCCGCGCCGCCTCCTTGCTCGCAGGGCGGCCCCGCACAGCAGGGCACGGGGCACCCGCTGCTTTTCCTGCCTGTGGGCACCCCCTGAAGAGCAGCAGAGGGGCTCAGGGCAAGGGCCTTGGCCCTGCACATGCAAGCAGCTCCTTTGCACCAAGCCTCAGTGCTCCGTGGCAGCAGTGGGGGCACAGAGGGCCCGAGGTCGGGCTCCCCGGCACAGCGCATCAGCACCCGCCTCTGCTGGCAGCTCCATGGGCAGCGGAGCCTCCTCAGAGCCTCCTTTCTAATGCTGGGACCAGAAAGCAAAGCAGGGAAAGCAGAGAGCTGCAAAGAGCTGGTTAATGAGAGCAGAACGGTGTTGTTCGGAGAGTTTATTGCAAGTCCCCAAGAGCAGGATACGCTCCAGGCACTGAGTGGGCAGAGAGGTACCATRTTCATTCCAGCCTCCTTTGCCGAGCCGAGCAAGGGGAGCAGCAGCGTGGAGGGGAGCCGCAGGCGGTGCCGTGGTGCCCGCAGCCCCGTGGCGAGCGCTGCTGAGCACGGCCCTGGCGCTGCCGGTGCCGCGTGCGTGCGAGGCCACCGCGCACRGGGAAGTGGTGCGTGCAGCTCCCAGCCCAAGGGGGAAGGAAACGGGCTCCAGGGAGAGGGGGAGGCGAGACAGGAAACCACAGCGAGGAGGAGACTGCAGCAGGGGCCTGATTTCTCACCCAGCAAGGACAGAGCCCCCGGCCCGGCCCAGCCTCTCCCCTGTGACCAGCCCGGGGCCGGGGTGTCCTGCAGGGCCCCGGGGGCTCCTCCACGCGCCAGGCAGTGGTTTGTTTCATGGCACCGGGGACTCCTGGTGCAGCTGAGCAGCAGTGGGAGGGCTGGCTGTGCAGGAGGGGCCTGGCCCCCGAGCGCTGCGCCGCCCGCTCTAGTAAGGCTCCTTCTTGATGAAGCGGCGGAACATGGTGAAGGCAGCGAGGGGCTGGTCTGTGGGCACCATGTGGCCGGCTCCCTGYGGAAGGGGAGGCAGCGCTCAGCCCTGTGCCCCGGGCAGCGCCCGGCCGGCTCTGCGCCCGCTGCCACCGCTGCACAGGGGCGCCCGCCGAGCCCGGCGCCCGCCCCACCTTGACCGTGAGGAAGGCGATGTTGGTGAACTCCTTCACGAAGCCGCCGATCTGGTTCTCGTCTCCTTCGGTGTAGAGCCAGGGCCGGCGAGCCACCTGCACCTGCAGAGGCAGGGACGGCCCTCAGTGCCAGGGACAGCGGCTCCTGTCCCGCTGCTCGGCTGGCCCGGAGCTCCCTCCAGGCCGGCGACAGGGACCACCCGGACCCCCTTCTGCCACTTACCTTCTGGCACAGGGAGTCCACAAACCACTCATCCCCGAGGAAGTTGCAGGCCATGTCCACGTCACCGTTGTACACCAGGATCCGGTATTTCTGCGGAGCACAAGGGCGGTCAGAGGGAGCAGGGCAGCAGCCCGGGCCCRCCGGGGAGCCCGTTTGGGAGCCCAGCCTTCCCGCACGCACCATGGCTCCGAGCAGCTTCAGGTACTGCTCGTTCATCTGCATGAAGAGGCGCTTGTAGCTGCGGTTCACGTCAAAGCTGCGGGGAGCGGCGGGTGAGGAGGCTGCGGCGCGGGGCCGCGCGCTGCCCGCCCCTGCTCACCTGCACACCTGCCACTCGGGCGCCTCGGCGGGGATGTGCAGCGCCTTCCGCACCGCCGCCGAGTTCAGGTACATGCTGGGCGCCGTGGAGTTGGTGCAGGGCGGGTCCATGCGGACCTTCTTGCGGGCAACGGGCATCCGGAAGAGGTTCTGGGGGAGCCGGGAGCGTCGCTGCAGCGGAGGCACCTCGGCCCGGCCCACGGAGCAGCTCCTCCCGGCCCGCTCCTGCCCACGGATGGTGCCGCCGGACACGGCCGGGAGGTGCCGCAGCCCAGGCTCACCTGCCGCCAGGAGAACCTCAGAGGCATCCGGATGAAGGAGTTGCCCAGGTCGTGGGTGATGAGATAGTCACCCTCGTACCTGCATCCAAAACAAGCACATGAGAAGCTGAAAGCTCCGGAGGSACAAGGGCCAACGGGAGGAGCCCAGGGCTCTCACTGGGGAGCAGYGTCCAGCACAGGGGCCACCGCTCCCAGAGGGACGTCCTGCCCGGTTCACCAGGTCCCTCGGCCAGCTGAGACCCTGGGCTGCAAACCACAGACAGCAACACAGGGCTGGGCCCTTGTGGACCTGCTCTCACCTTAGGTCTCCAGGGACGCCACCGGCGCACGGGGCATAGAGATTGTAGATGTTGAGACCAGATTCCTCCACGATATGAATCATTTCCTCCATCTGCAACAAGCCACAAGCATGTGGGACTCAGCAGATACCTGAGGATCTTGGTCATCCATCAAGAGGCAGCAGAGCTGGGTGCTGCAGGAGAGCTCGACTCCCCTCACCTTGAGCGTACAGTTCAGGTTGGAGCTGTCATGGAAGTTGCACTTCCCTTGGGAGCAGCAGAAGGCCTGCAAGTCCTTCCAGAGCCTGGGACAGAGCAGCAGGACGTGAGCGCAGCACCCGGGAGGCAGCCGCCCCGCGGGGCCAGGGGCCCAGCCACCCCGTGGGCTCCCGGRCACGGGCAGAGCGCCAAGGGAAAACGCATCCGCCGGGATTCCTGGGCCAGGAGCCATCCCAGTGCTGGGGGTGGCCCAAACYGGGCCGGGAGGTTCCCCAAAGGGCTGCTCGGTCCCGCCCGGCCCTGGGGCTGTGTCCCGTCCCACGGCCCCCGCCGGCCTCGCGCCCCTTACTGGGTTCCCAGCAGGCCGTGGTAATAGGCGAAGTAGACAAGGGAGTTGTCGTTGATCTCGTAGGAGGAGAGGCCGTTTCCCACGGCGATTCCCTGCGGGACACAGCGCAGCAGCCCGTGGCGCTCCCGCCCGGCTCCGCCGCGGGCAGGAAGCAGCTGTGAGCCTGTTTACCGCGCAGCAGGGGCCGGGGAAGCGCGTGGGCGCCCGCAGGCTCCGCCGCGGCCCCGCGCAGCGGGGGGACATCCCGGCAGCCGGCGCCGCGGAAGGGCCGGGCCGCTCCTGCCCCCGCGGCGCCGGGCCCCTCACCTTCAGGTTGAGGCTGGGGTCCTGCATGACCCACTCCGCCAGCGTGGGGATGTAGATCCCCCCGTAGCTCTCGCCCGTGAGGAAGAGCTCGTTCTTGGCGTACTCAGGGAAGAGGCGCAGGAATTCCTTCAGCGCCAAGTAGTTGTTGTGAGCAACCTGCGGCGACGGGAGACAGGGTTAGAGAGCCAGGCAGGAACCAGCGCGGCCGCGGGAGCGGGAAGCAGGGCGGCCCCTCACCTCGGTGTCGTTTGTGGCATATTTCTTGTCGTCGGAGTAGGAGAAGCCGACACCGGCGGGGGACTCCAGGTAGAGCATGTTGGCGATCTGCAGGGAGAGCGATGGAGCTGCAGGACGGGGCGGCCGCCCCAGGGCCTGGCGTCGGGGCGCGGAGCCGCCGCTAYCCTGGGCTCCCCGGGCAGCACCGGGTGGCAGAGGCGCCCGCAGGCCCCGCTCTGCACGGGGACGGGAGGGCGGCCCCGGCGGGGGGACCCGCCGCTGGGCAGGGCGCAGCCCCTACCTTGTTCCAGGCGTATTCGTTGTACTTGAGAGTGACCCCGTCAGGCTGGATCTGGGGAGAGGGAAGAGAGCGGCTGTGCAGGAGCGGGGGCCGGGGGGGCGGCGGAGGCCGCGTGCCGCGCACCGCGCACGGCCGCTCACCAGGAAGGGGCCGTGCTCCTTGAGGAAGCCCTCCATGGAGCTGCAGCCGGGGCCGCCGTTGAGCCACAGCACCAGCGGGCTGCTCTCGGGGTTGCTCTGCGCTTCCACGAACCTGCGGGCAGCAGGGCCGAGGTGGCGGCGGGGCCGGCGCCGCCGCGCGCCCACCCGGCCGGCCCGGCCCCACATACCAGTAGTGCAGGCGCTTGGCCGGGCCCACACACAGGTACCCGGAGAAGTGCCGGAACGAGGGCTGCTTCGGGAGCCCCGGCAGGTAGGTGACCTCGTCGGCGGCCGGCGCCGCCCGGCTCAGCCCCAGCAGCGGCAGCAGCGCCAGCAGCAGCGAGAGCCCCATCTGCGGGGACAGGGACACGGGGACAGGGCTGACATGGCTGCGCTCGCCCCTGGCCCCGCCGAACCCTGCGCGGAAACAGCCGAACCCTGCGCGGAAACCGCCGAACCCTGCGCGGAAACCACCGAACCCTGCACCAAAACCACCGAACCCTGCACCAAAACCACCGAACCCTGCGCGGAAACCACCGAACGCCGGCCGAAACCGCCGGCGCGCGGGACCCTCCCGACCCTGCTGCTGCCAGTGCCGGCCCAGCGTCCCCTGCTCCTGGTCCTGGTCCTGCTCCTCGTCCCGGTGCAGTGCCCCATTCTGACCCAGTCCCGGTCCCCCCGCTGACCCCAGTCCGGTTCGAGTCGGTCCCGACCCGACTTCCCCCCGCTGCCCCCGGGCCCGGTCCCGGCCCGGCTCCTCTCCGCCCCCCGCTGACCCCGGTTCGGTTCGGGCCGGTCCCGGTCCAGCTCCCGCAGGCGGCAACTCTCAAGAGCCGCACGTGACTCGCGCCCATATGACCTCTGAACGGTCACGTGAGCGGAGGGCGCGCCCATGGAAGGGGGCGTGGCCTCGTCACGGCAGCCAATCAGCGCGCCGGGCAGGCGCGCGGGCGCCCTCGCCCATC